AGGGACAAGAGTATAGGCGGTAGGTGCTTTAGGCTAAGTAGCTCTCCAGAAGGATTCAGTGAAGCATAAATTAATACAATTACTTTGGAAACCTTCTTGGTGTCTGCTTATGCTGAACATATGCATACTCTTTCACATAACAACGCCACTCCTGAGAATTGTGTATTTCTAGCAGAAATCTACACGAATGGTCACTAAAAGACATATACAAGAATGCTCCTAGCAACACCACTTGTAATAGTTCCGTTTTAGTTTGCTGGGACTGCCAGAACAGAGTACCACAGACTGGAGGGGCTTAAAGAACATATATTAATTTTCTTACAGTTTTTGAGGCTGAAAGTCAGAGATGAAGGTGTCAGCAGCTTTGGGTGTGAAGGACACAGATGCTGGGAGGCAGCATCTCAGGAAAAGAAGAAGTGGGGAAGGTATTCCACCTAAGGGTTCTCGGACCAAGATGAGAAGACGGAGCAATTTGAAAGTACGGTTGTTCGTTTGCCAACAAGAAATAAGAACATCAATTAAAAACTCCTGGACCAACACACAAAAACTCGATAAAAGTCATTTTCCAAATGGAAGACAAATTAAAAAGTGGCATGATTATAACCATAACTATGAAGAAAGCATGAAAATTAATTTTCATGTTAGTACAAAATAGAAGGTAAACACTAATGACTTTGATTATGTGGAATTAGAGTTAGAGCTGATGGAAGTCTTGTGGGAAAGAGCTGTGGAAAGGTGGAGGGAAGGACAGGAAATCGCCTTTTCTTGTGTGGGAGACATCTGTGTCGAGTTACTGATGAGAAACATGGAGTTAATTGATTAAAATTAAGGATAAAGGCATAGGAATATTTTTAAAGGTTTTCAGGGTAAACAGATGGAAAAAAATACTAAAAGTGCCATAATTAAGAGCATCGTGAGGAAGAAGCAAAAAGAAAGAAGACACTGAGATATCTCTCATAGTGAAGAACCAATGGATTATTGCCTTTGTTAAAAATTCAGGAATTTAATGAGTCATTTGTTAAACCACTGAAAGCTTGGTGGGAATATTTACATCTCAGAAAGTGAAAAAAAAAACTAACAAATTAGAAAGCAATCATGTTAACTGAAAACAGTATTGGAAAGTGAGGTGGGGTCGGGAAGGAGTTAACAGATGAGGACTCCTGTTCTTTTGTTGCTGAGTATGTATTTTTCTGTGCATACATAAGTATTTTGTACTATTTATTTCTATTAGGTAGGTCATATTTATAACATGTATCATGTTCATGTATATTTAAAACAAACATTTTAAAAAATCACAAATGACATCTAAACATTGTTAATCAATATTTGTCAGTACCGTCATGGTAGGCAAACATGCCGAAATACTTCCTCTGCCACAGCCTACGTGACCAGTGGTGAAGACAACAGGTCATGGGCCAATCCCATTGTAGTGTTACGGAGGGATAGAGCACTAGAGGAGGCATCTATTCCAGTCATTGGGGATGAGGTGGGGCTCCAGGGTAAAGCATCAGAGTTCATGACAAATGGGTATTCGGAGGCAACAGAAGTCTCTGTGAGTCGAGAGTGGGTGGGAGGAAGGGACACTATTCTAGCAAAATGAAGCACGCATAGAGGTCTGGAGAGAAGATAGGGTGTGGGGACCAAATCAGGAAGATAATAGTGTAAAGGGCTAGGGTGAGGTCGAGGGATCAGACCTTGAAGGAAAACAGGAGCTCTGAGTGTTTTAGGGCACTTGATGGAGGCAGATTGTTAGAGGGAAGGACTCTGCCAAGTTATGTACGCTCCTACGTGCTGTGCCAGTGCTCAGTTTTGAAAGTCATTCACTATCTCTGAAATCGGAATGCATTTCACAATACTAATCAGTCAGGCAGTAGTAAAGATATAATCATCATTCCTGAACGTGCTGTGCGAAGTTGTAGAATAAATGGCATTAGCTTAGAAGAAAATATTGAAGACAGAAATGAAAGATTCTTTTAAGAAATGCTGTATCCCCAGTGTTCTCAATGGCACAGGGTATGATACTGTGCAGAAAACCAAACCAACCAACCGCACGAGAACATCCACGTCTCTGAGTCAAAACGTGATCCAGAAAAGTCAAACTCAGAAGGCAAACAGGTTTCCAAAAAGCATCAACCTATTTACTTATATTTACACTTTCCCGTACATCGAAAAGGATATATAGTAAAATCTATGTCTAAAAAGTCTTTAGAAGCCCACAAATTATAAAATAAAATTCCAAGGAATAAGAAATAATGGTATCAAATTTAATAGCTAACATTTTTCCTTTAGTGACACATAAAATTCTAATTCTTCTAATAATTGATGCCATTTTATAATTACCAATAAAAATGGGGTACGTCCATATTCTTCTTTATATAAATGGAATTATATTTATATTTCTCATAACCTGAATAAATATATTTGGATTTGAATCACATTGACAGCAGGTGTTAAAACAACAGCCAAATATGTATCAAGCTAGCCTCATTCACAAGAACACTAAGTGGGAACACTTCATTCCCTGATCTCCATGTTCTGTGTTGAGAGTTACTGCAAACCCTTCTCAGATGGTGGGAGTCAGAGGGAACTTGGCAAAGGGGCTGTCCCATGCAATCCACTCCCCATTCACTCCTGACAGCGTGCACGGGAGAATGACTGTTCTGTTCCATTTGTATGCTTTCCATTTGTGAAACAATCCTAGGCATTTGTGTTCCTTTTACCTGATTTCCAAACCAACAAACCCAAGTACCAACCACTCCTGTTGGATTTGTAGTCAGCTGTAGGTTCAGAGAGCTGCTCCCTTGATGAAGGGGCTGTGGATGTGACGTCTGCACACGGAGCATATCAACTTGGAATAATTTCCCCCTCAATACTCCCAAGGAGTTCAGCCTAAACTCCAAGTACATTAGTTGCCTGTGTCACCTTAGAAAAATAAATGATCCTGGGGTTCCTGGCCTTGGAATGTCATTTCCTTTATGATATTTGTCTTTGAAAGGCAAGGAGTAGCAGTAAGCAGAGCGGATATAAACATGGGGCCTGGGCTTTAATTCTGTGTGCCCCCATCTCTTATGGTCTGTATGATTTAAAGGGCCCAACTTAACTTCTCGGAGCCTTAATTTCTCCATTTCAAACTGGAGGAAAGAATGCCTCTTCTGCAGGCTAACAGAGAATTAAGTGAGGTCATGCGCATAAGGCATAGTCCACAGTTCTCTATGCAGAAAGTGCCTTGCAAATGGTTCCTGCTATTTATCACTGGAAGCAAGAAAGCAAAGAAACTCAGAGCAATATACGGTCATGCACTCTTAGTGACGAAAAAGACCTCTGAAAAATTGTCTTGTCTAATCTTCATTCTACAAACCAGGGAAGTGCAATGTTGGTCTAAGCAGGGACTCTCATAAGGACAAAAGAGAATTCAGGGGCCAAGCTGGGTCGAGCACAGCCCCAGCATCCTTTGGTTTAAAGATTTATCCATTTGCTTTGCAGAGACTTCATTCCTACTAGTAATAGAGCAACCACAGATGGAGTTTGACCAGCTGTATTTTTTTTTTTATAATATCATAGCCTGAGGAAATGTGGCTCAAGCATTTAATGTTTCTGATGTGAACCATTTTAGTCAAAGACAGTTAAAACAGAAAGCCTCAATTTTTTTCTTATTTGAAATTAGACTTTTAGATGTAAAGCTTAGGTGAAGGAAGAATGGAAATTTGAATGTAAAAGGCCAAAAGAAAGAATACCAAAGAATTAGAAGATAAACATTTTGTCTTTCAAAAGAAAATAATTCTTCATTCTATTTTACAGCCAACCATAACTCGTAAGATGAATGACGCTTTCTGTTAGTGTCATGCTTTTCAAGTTACATAAAAACCTGGTTTTGCATGAGAGGCACTGCTGAAGCAGCCCTTGTCGGAATCTGTGTCTCATTCTGCAACCTATTGTGTCCCCACTTTCACTGGCTTCCTCTAGAATAGAAGCTGGGTGCACAAGTTTATAAGTCGTCTCACTGGAATACTAAACCCCACCACCTCAGAGGGGAGCCTTCCCATCCCCACAGCTCCCCAACCCAGACCTCTCCCCGCATGGGCTGAATCATTTTGATCTTGGACAAGGTGGAGATCTTGGACTCCTGGATCTTGATCACTTCCAGGAGTTCACTCACTTGTCTCCCATCTCCATAAATGTTGCCATTTCTAAATAATGCTTATACTTTTATTTATTGGTTTTTATCTTAACTATTTTCATTAGGTTCCTAAGTGATAAGATCAGGACAAAGATAGGTCGATTATGCTAGTTAGATATTTTCCTAAAGTATGATAAGATAAATGAAAAGGAAACAATGCATGTTTATCTGAGATAGAAGAAGTGTATCAAAGGTGTTATGCTGCATTCTAGTTGTGCTAGGGGTTACGGGGATCTATGCGTGTATTTCTGCTCCTGGAACCATACGCCAAAATAAGTCAATTTCACTGCATGTTAATTACAAAAAAAAAAAGGAAGCTCTTAAATCCTCCTCAAATCCCAGAAAAATATAAGTAAACATTGTTTTCCCCACACACTGTTGTGAAGAGTTAAAAAAAAAAAAAAAACAAAAAAAAACTCATCTGGCTTTATTTACTGTAAGACTTGGAAAGGCTAATAGTACGAAACTGCAGATCAAACCATAGCAAGTTGCGGAATGGGCAGTGTCTTCAAGCCAGCCAGGCAGTGCAGGCGAGGAGTGTGGCCACTGCGGGACGGTAGGGCGGGTCATGTGAGCCCGCGAGGACTCCGGAGGCCACGCCCCTCTGGAGCAGTCCCGGGAGAAGCTGCGTTCCCTGTCACTCAGCCAGTGAGGTCTCCCTGCTGTTCTCTCCCTGTGATCTGCTGGTATTTCTTTTTGAGGACTGTGGTTATGAGATCTTGGTTTCAAAAACAGAAACAAAGAAAAAATAACTTGATAGCATTCAGCACAAAGTAAGGCAATTCCCCAGTGTGATATTAAATTGGGAGTTGTTTTCTTTTAGCTGCAAAACCAGAGTCACGTTATCTGATGGACTCAGGAATAAAAAGGAGTCTGGATTAAGAAGAATAAAAACAGATTACCGCTGGAGAGACCCAGGCAGCCTCATTCTGTGCACACTGTCTGATTGTCCCATTTGCAGGGGCAGATGTTTCTCTTTGTTACTATTTTCGCATGCGTCTGGGAAACATTTGGGTGGCACTCAACTCACAAGACACCTACCTGAACCTCGTAGCACTGCTGCTCCCCCTGGGTACTCACTTCTAAATGCTGAAGAGGGATAGCTGCTATGGCCTGAGTCTCTGCCTGGAGGCTTATTTCTAGGTCACAAGGCAATGACAAACAGGAAGTCTGTAGAAAAACATCCTTTTTTTTTGAGATGGAGTTTCACTCTTGTTGCCCAGGCTGGAGTGCAATGGAGCGATCTCGGCTCACTGCAACCTCCGCCTCCCTGACTCAAGGGATTCTCCTGTCTCAGCTTCCCAAGTAACTGGAATTAAAGACACCCACCACTATGCCTGGCTAATTTTTGTACTTTCAGTAGAGATGGGGTTTCACCATCTTGGCCAGGCTGCTCTTGGACTCCTGACCTCAGGTGATCCACCCACCTCGGCCTCCCAAAGTGCTGGGATTACCGGCGTGAGCCATAACACCCGGCCCTAGAAATAACACTCTTTAGTATAGTATACATTGTCTCTCAGAGCGCCCCAGAGGAACTGAGTTTGCACCAACCACAGTGCTTGTTGACAGACATTTTGTGGCTTCCCACCCTATGTCACAGAATCCTCTTTTTCTGACCAGAGATTTCTGGGGTTATCTTTTGACTAAACTTCTTGCTCTTGAATCTGGGTCTGAGGTTGTGTGTCTGGGGCAACCCAGGCCTAAGTATAGCTATTCATATTATGCACTCACCCACGGAAATGCACACACATGCGTTATGCATGCACACATTCACTCATACATGCATATGCAGACACAGATACACAAGCATATATATGCTCTCTGGAACACAATATTTATGCTCTCTAATAATTCCCACGGGTCGTGCTCCTGGCATTAGCTATAGAAACAGTGGCACAAGCAAGGTGATCCCTCTCTGAAAATATGTGCATCTGGAATTTGACCGCTTTTCTCCCTGCTTAAATGGTATAGTGCAGATGATAACTCCGTAGACAAACCTTTGTGGCTAGAATTTAAATGTTGGAGACCGTAAGCACAATATATAAATGAGTTTGGCTTTTCCTTCCGAAATCACTGAACTTTCACTTTCAATATAATGTTAGCCAGCTTTGAATCCAGAATATTTGCATCTTCCTGATTGTGTCTTGGAGCCTCCGAATCAACGGACAGGGAGCATCTGTCCCCGTGTGCAGGGCTGCTGAAAGGTGGGAGCAGAGATTAAAGAGAGGGGATGGGAAGAAACAAAGAGAGTCAAGAGATCTCACAGAATGCTGTGAGAGACATTCCTTTTGACCTGATTAGACTCCTCCAAGGCGGGATCCAGAGAAAAGAATGGCAGGTTGGAGACCACACCCCCAGATTGGAGACCACACCCCCAGATTGGCTCTCTTTTGAACTGCGATAGAGGAACTGCTATTCCTAATCAGAAACAGGGCTGGGAATGTTGGCTCGTATCTCTTGGCTGTACTTGCCTGCTGGCGTGATCAGCAACATCAGAATTTTTAAAAGCTCTTGTACTTTGTATCGGCTTTTTCCTGTTTTAAACTGCTGGGCATTTATTGAAGGGTTACTAAGTGCCAGACAATGGGATAAAGTCCTCTTAAGAGAGATGATTCAAATAATTCTTCCAAGGAGCTTTCCAGGAGCTCTGCTAAAATAGTTTAATTATGGATGAGAAAGACAGCAAATGCTTAGAAAGATTAAGCAATTTGGTTAAAGCCAACAGAAAGTGCCTGGTGGAGACAAGATTTGAACCCAGGTCTTTCTGAGTCTAGAGCTTCACATTTAAATTAAAATTCCAGCTGCTCCTTGAAAAGCAGCTACTCCTTCTCTCTGCCCACGTTAGCAGTCCTGTGGGATGTCCAGTCTCTAAAGAGCATGCCTGTTAAAAATGGGTACAGTGCCAACAGGTGTGCTATATATGGGATAGAGACAAGACACAATTTCTGGAGCAGTCACTATTCCTCCATATTGAAATGTCATTTTCATATTAAAGCAAATGCGCTGTGGTTGCTGCTTTTCAGACTCACATCTTTTGGTTCCAAATCTGCCCTCTTTTCAGTGCATCATCTCGCTAGCAGGTGGTTCAGCCTCCTCTTCCTCCTTGGCCAGACCCTTCTTCCCTTCATAGTTTTCCCTATCCTCAACCACAGAGGACCTGTTCATGGTCATGAAGGACACAACCGTCTTTCTGTTACTTAGAAACATGCACCAAGACAAGCCCAGAAAGCGAGTCTGCAGCCTCTGCAACCCAGAAGAGGCTGCATCCTCCTGCGTAACGCCCACCAGGTGTGGGGCACTCTGCAGGCAAGGGAAAACTCAGCACTTAACACAGCGGGCGAGATCCCCAATGCAGAAATCACTATGAAACAACAAATGGCATTTGTGGATATTCAGTTGCAGTGTCGTAAGAAGGAACATGAAAGGGAAGAAGATTTGGAAACAGATTGGTTTGGTGGACGTGGAAGGGTCCTAGAGGAAGTAACATTGAACAAGACTCTCACAGTTTGGTGGAAGAGTCACCAGCTGAAAACAGGGACGTGGGTTCTAGTTCCATGGTTCCTAACCCTGACTGTGCATTTTCAATCACTGCCCAGGCCATACCACGGACCAATTATATTGAATTGCTGGGGCGGACTTAGATATTCCTACTTTATTTTTTTTGTTTTTTCTTTTTTTGAGACAGAGTTTCGCTCTTGTTACTCGGGCTGGAGTGCAATGGCGCAATCTCGGCTCACCACAACCTCCGCCTCCTTGGGTTCAAGCCAATTCTTCTGCCTTAGCCTCCCGAGTTGCTGGGACTACAGGCATGTGCCAGCATGCCCAACTAACTTTTGTTATTTTTAGTAGAGACGGGGTTTCACCAGTGTTGACCAGGATGGTCTCGATCTCTTGACCTCGTGATCCACCCGCCTCGGCCTCCCAAAGTGCTGGGATTATAGGCATGAGCCACCGCATCCGGCCAGATATTCCTACTTTAAAGCTCCCTGTGGACAGACAATAGACACACCAGCAGGAGGCCCTTCCAGTGCTAAGGTGACAGTTGCAGAAGTGACGGGAAAGCTGCAGGGAGGCCAACAACACGGGCCAAATAGGAGGTGGTAACAAATCAGACCCCACCATAGCTTGGATAAGGAGTTGAGGGCAGATCGGCCAGGTGCGACTCCTCAGCCTGAGTAGCAGGCACGATTTGGATTCTGTTTGCTAATTGATTTAGTTACATCGATTATGGAAACGGAAATCTCTCAGCATGAAGCTCACCTGGAACTGCGGTAAAACAGCGCTGCGTGCGCTGGGCCTGCCGGGAGTCTGGGAGCAGGAGTTGCCTGTAATTACCTCCAATGTGGAAAGAAAAAGAACTTTCACATCCTGACTCTAAAATTCTCTCTTCGCCCCGTGCGTCAGTACATAAACTTTAATTCAGACATTGGCAGTACTGTCAGCAGCTCATATGTCATCAGCAGAGGGCTCGGAGGCTCCGCGTGCCAGGGAGCAGGGCGGCTTCTGCTGCCTTCCAGGAGGTCAGGATCTCCCTAGTTTGCTGAAGCCTCGCAGGCAAGTCTTTCTCAAGAGCGAGAGCAGAACCTGAAAGACAGGGACTTTGCCTCGGTCTCTGTTCAGTGGCTGAGCCGTCTAGCCCAGGGTTCCTGCTCCTAGTGGGATTCAGATGTCTCTCTGCGCACCTGGGGAAGTGTGTAACCATGACCATGTGAGGCCCGGGGCGGGGTCTCTCAGGGTCCCTGCTGACAGCCCACGAGCCCAAGGGGCCGAGTGGGGAGAAATCACACAACATTAGCCTTGTTCCTCGTGGATATAGGCGCTGTCCACAAATAGAAGTGCAGATAGGAAAACTCCCTTCCCCTTCTGTTGGGCAGTAGTCTCTCCCAGCCTCCCTCTCCCCTTAAGCTATCTGCTAGGGTCTCCTGAGTTGCTTGAGGTAGCATTTACAGGGGTTGGCAAATGTCACCATGAAGAGCACAAGCCTGTTCTCCACAGGAGGAGCTGGTCTCTGAGGCCTGTTTTCTTTATTCTGTCTCTTCCACGTTTTAAAGTGTGATTCTCCCTGGTGGGGAAAGGCGAATGAAATATCCAATGCTCGTAAAATTAAAATAAAGTTCAGCACAAGCTGTTAATGAATTGAATTTGCTTCATACATATATTTATAAACTCAAAACAGACCTAGCGTGCCCACACTTGTCAGTGGGCCATGGGATGGGAAGCCTGAACTCCAGATGGACGTTACGTATGTATAGGCCATATAGGAGCTGAAGAAAGCACCCAAAGAACCACCCTAAAAGGTTTCTCAACATAAGAAGATACTAGCTAATGGAAAATTATGCTGAAAAAAAAACCAGAATCACTTTTAAGGTTTTGAAAAGTCTCTTCTATATGAAACAGCCTTGGTTTGGTGCTATATAGTTTATGAGCCTGAAAATGAAATTACAGGGCATAAAATATAAAAAAACCTAATCAATATCATATAACCAGGAAAGTTGGAAATTTAAAAGAGTTCTCTTGTGCTAACATTTGAGGCCATGAATACCAGAATATGGCATATGGAGAGGAAGTCGGTGTTCATACTACATTCAGGTCACCTGGGCCAAGGGTAGCACTCCTTCCATCAGCTCAGTTGTGAGGCCTGACACCCAAGACAGGTATTGATTTCTGCTCCTTTCCCTGCTCCTCCTTCTTCTCTTTCCTCTTTTTAATAGCAGGTAAGCGTACTGTTAAATGACCAGTTCTTTCATCATTTGAAAATTGTGAACGCCTCCTGATCTTAAACATCAGCAGTAAATTATTAAGAGACATTATGTTCTCTGAAGACACCGAGAGAAGTTCTCCCTTCCTTTCATTATAAGAGATAGCTTGAACCTCTTCCTATCTGTCCCTCCACACCCTCCGAGGTCTCAGGATAGCTTTTGTAGGTTGGGACTTTGGTAAAAAGTCTTGACAGCAAATTTCAATTATCACAGTATGACCTTAGACACGTCGCTCCTTACACCTCAGTTTTCTCAACTAAAAGTGGAGGTAGTTCTCTATTCAAATATTAAACCCTTAGAGATACCTAGCCAAGCCACTCCATCAATAATGGCCTATCTCCCCTCTTTGGGAAAAAAAAAAAAAGGAAAGAAAAAAAAAAAGAAAATCTTAATCTCTTTTATGCTTATCGTTGACATTATACTATATTTCTTTTCT